AAGATAAAGGACACGAAAGACGATCCTCCCCCCATCGCAAACGGGATGGCCTTTGAGTAAATAATCCGTGGTGACTCTTCTTCGGCAGCTAACAAGGCCAAAAGATTTCAAGAAAATGAAATTTTCTTTAATTTACGACCATGAGGACACCTCTCAGGTGGGATGGGCTTCGACGAAACGATCCACTGCGATTTCCTTCGTCGGCATCGGTGAAGCCAAGAAGGTGGGAACAAGAAAACGATAAACCAATATTTATTTCAGAAGCCCGACTACTTTAACTTTCTAGGAACAGAACAGCGAGAGCCACTCGACTCAGCCATCTCCCGACGTCAGAAACAAAACATCAACAAGACCACGACCGTTACCAAAGATGGCGATGAGGACGCCTCTCCCATCGTAGTTGGGATGGGCTTCAAGGAACCGATCCGCACCGATCTCCTTCTTGGGCATCAGGGACGCCAAGAAGGTGGATTCGGTGAGCTTGAAGGAGGATCCGCACGCGTCGCTCTTCTTGGACTCAGTGGGCGGCGGCGTCGGTGTCATCGCCCTGATGATTACCCCGCCACGCCGCAGCTTTCCTCGACCAAAACGTGGAGAGACGGGCGAGAGAGGCGGCGGAGAAAAATGGGGGAGAGGCGGTGGAAATGGGAGGATCAGTGATCTGGCATCGGCTGCCGAAAGGGCATTATATGCTGCGACGGTCCGCATCATGATTCGGCTGCGAGGGAATTTTTCGCTATTCTTTTTCTTTTTGGAATCGCAAGGAAACACTTTTTGTTTTCGTTTTCTCCCATAGAAAGAGCACGGAAATGGATGACAGCGGAAGCGATGAGTGTGGATAACACAAGCGGCGATGCTTTCGTATGTGTTTAAAATATTTGGGGGTTAAGATCGTGTTCGGAACATATTTACATGTTTAAAGGAAGGATTTAAGGATTTAATAAATAATAGATAAAAAAATATTTTAAATATAGTTTAATATTTAGTAAAATTACATTTTAAAACTTAATTAAATATTTATGATAAATCCATCCTTATAATATTTTTAATATTTATTCAAAAATAAATAGATAATTTTATTTAAATTAATGAGTAAATTATATATATAATCTTGTAAAAATTTTATATGTCCCAAAAAAGATAATAATAATAAATATAATCATATAATAAATATAAAATAATCTTCAAAATAAGTAAATAAAATTTTATCTTATAGAAAATATAAATGATATTGACTTTTCACTAAATCACAATCTCATAATTTTAGATAGAGTCACAATGTCCTTTTAAAATTTAAAAAAATCATATTAACATCTAATAAATATTAAACTATTAATATTATTCTAATGTAGTATCAATATTTGAACATTTTCAATGCGACATTTGGACTAACTACGATTTTTAAAAAAGTCAAATATTTAATTTATATTTAAAATATTTTTAAAAAAAATAAAAATATATTATATTAGCTAGGATTACAAAAACTAGGAGGGCCAGTGTCCTCCAAGGATGACTAAAAAAACCAATCTATCACTCATTCTACAAAAGTCAGCATGCTCATGGGTAACTAGATTAAGAGAATACTCAAAATATTGAAAGTGAATAACATTCTAACTTGAAAGCCAAAAATAAAAAACACGGTAGACAATAGAGTGACGACTCCATAAGTCTAGGAGTAAGAGTTGATTAATAAGTTGAAGGAAATTTGGTCGAACTACTTGTTATATCATTTGATTTAATGTCATACATATTAGGATGAAGAGCGGCACTAAGAGATAAGTGAATTAGTGCAGTGAAAAACTTTCGCTATTTAAAAAAAACTTATTTCGATTGAAATCGATTCCAATAGTTTCAATTCAATATATTTCGGAAGAATTTTAGACTAAGGTGATTTGTAGCCATATAAATTACACAAATAAAAAGCGTCGGTTTTGTAAAGTCTTCGTACAAATAAAGCTGATATCGGAAGATGTTTATGTGAAAGCATATGTAGACATAGTTAAAGCACAGTAAGGACAAGTGGCAGTTTGCTATAAAAGAAAGTTAGTCGAAGTAAATGCAAACCGAGTTTTAGAGTGGTTCGGTTAATGTGACCATCCACTTTTGGCTTCCTCCTCCGATGAGATCACCGGCGTCCACTAGAGACCTTCCTTCAATAGGCGAAGGCTAACCACCTTTTACAGCTTTTCTTCTTTTGTCGGGTTTATGAGACAACCCTTATAAGTTTCCTCTCTTGAATAATCTCAACACTTAGAAAGGAAGGAGGAGAACTCTAGCACTTTTACAACTCTTTAACACTTCAAAGACTCAATAATATATCAAGATTTCGTTACCTTTTCATGCAGAAAAGGGTGGGATATTTATAGACCCCAATGGCTTTAAAAAATGGAGCCAAGAAGTGTCTCATCCCGGATTTCTGGGATATTGGCGGTACCATCGTCATTACTGGGCGGTACTACCGCTTAACACCTGACACTAGGTGGTACTATCGTTCAGTCTGGGCGGTACCACCACCTGACAGAGCTCGGAAACTGAGCTCTAGCGATACCACCGCCTGACAAGGGCGGTACCACCGCTGGCAGCAATAACTAATGGCGGTGCCATCGCCTGACAGGGGCGGTACCACAGCCCAAAATTCCTGGGAGACCGAGTCTCCCAGGCGGTGCCACCGTCGGCCAAGAATTTAGGGTCCTGGTTGGGCCTTGAATCCGGCCTAAACTAGCTCTACTTAGGGCCCAATTGGTCCCTAATTAAGTTAGTGAGATTACCTCTCAAACCTAACTTAATTTATGCTCTAACTATGATAATTAAGACATGATTATTGCATTTCATGTTCTGGTACGTCAATTGCTCTTCCGGCGAGCTTCTAACGTACTTCGAACATCCGACGAACTCTCGGCAATGTTCCGACGGACTCCCGACAAGCTCCTAGACTTTGCGACGATCTTCTTAGCGAGTTTCGACGAGCTTCTATAGCAATCTCCTAGACTTCTCGGTTGTTTCCTACAGAACTTCCGACGAACATCTGGACTTCCGTCGAACTCTCGAACTCCCAACGTGATCTCGATCTTGACTCCGGCACAACACATGTTTTATGTCTTACTGTCATCGTAGTTAATCCTGTACATTTTTCTTAACATATAGATTAGATCAAATAAATTTCAATTGACTTCATCATCAAAATATGAGATTCAATAATACAAACCTTTCTTAGGTGTATTTAAGGAGCATAGTTTATTTATGATTGTAATAACCTTTGAAAAGAGAAATTTTTTTTTTGGGACAATGGATAACTATTCTGATTTAGTCAAATATACCATAAGCAATTAGCATTAAAGTTCTTAATTCAAAGACCCTCGGGTAATTGTCTTATTCAACTAGGCATAATCCCTCCGGTTATCAAAGAATCGAAAAGATTAAAAAAAAACTCTATTATGAGCCAACTCATTAAAAGAGAATGCAAAGCTACAATCAAGGACAAAGTGAGATTAAGAGGAAAATACAAAATGAAAAGAAAAAAAATAACTCTATTATGAGCCAACTCCTAAAAAGAGAATGCAAAGCTACAATCAAAGGAAAAAAAAAAGAAAAAAGAAGAGATTAAGAGTCATTGCAAATAGAGAAAACTGGATTGTGGAGAGGTGGTTCTATAAAAGCTTGCAAAGGAATATTTTAACCTTCGATGTCATTGAAAGTTACCGTATCGCCCTAAACCTTCCTAAGGATATTTCTTATTTTGTTTGTTGTTCTTCATATATCTGCTACCAACAGTAAGAGAGAGCTTAGGAGAAAGAAACTAGATCCATGCATCATTGAGCTTATCCAATCCTTGCTTCCTGCAGTAAAAAGACTAGAGACAGTAGTAATGTTCTCGATAGCATTAACAATTGCTAATCCAGAGATCCAACCACACCATGATTTGAGTCCCCATACCAGCATACATTCAAAATATGTACCGAGCCCTTAACATACATTTGAAATATGTTCCAAATGCATCCTAATTATATTTGTTAGTATAAACAACCTTAAGCCGTGGCTTCGGGGCTGACACGACTGGGTTCGGGTCCGAATGATTGAGGATCATTCTGGGACGTCCCTTGAGACTGCTGAGGTGGTCGACTGCGGTGGTCTGATCGCGATGGGACAGTCGCTGTTTTCACCGGGGAGGGACTCCTCGCCTTGACGCGCGGTGAGAGGCGCTCCGTCTTCGCACCTGCACACAGGTTGGGTTGGGGGGCTCGACCCGACCCTTTAGACGGTCAAGTTAGCGGATAGTCTTAAGGAGTTTCCCCCCTCCTTTCCTCGAAGTGCGAGGGTTTTTATAGTGAATGTTGTCATCGCCTGATATGCCCGCTTGCAGGGAGCAGGATCGTACTCCCGGTAACGTCTGATAGCGGTGTTGGCGTGACGCGAAGGACCGAGCCTGCGCAGGATGTTAATGTGCCTCGGTCGACGTTTCGGTCTGTTTGACCAGGTGCTGTCAGATCAATCGAGGTACGAGACGTCATCAGGGGCAGTTGACGTCGGACCGGGTCTTATCATCATTATTACCCTCATCATATTAGTAACTTATGTTGTTTTTAAAAATAATTTTGAGTACTTACGTTGTATGGGGATGGGTGACATTTAAAATCGATTCCAAGTCACATGTAGACACTATCACAGTTGAAAAATCAAATTACATGTATGCCCTTACAAAATTTAAAAATAAAAATATTTATCCCTATATATTTTTAATTATTGTAAATATTATGATCTTCTCCATTCATATGAATCATATCAATCGCCAATTTCTTTCTTATCTATGATTTTAGAAATATCTTTTTGAATATTCATATCGTGTTAATTCTACCTTTATCAACGTGTTCATTCGTCCTCCATAACCGCCGTTATCAACTCGTGACGCCGTTTCCTCCGTCCCTACTAAAGTGTTTGGCCCCTCCTCCGCCAGCATAACCCGTCAACAGCGACAACCGCCGCCTTCCCAATCTGGTCTTCCTCCCCATTCCTTTTCCTCCCACCCCAATCTTCTACTCCAATTCCAATTCTCCTGTCGTCACGACTGCGCTAGAGCCGGTGCCCCCTCCATCGCTCACTTCCTCCGCTAGGTCCCCGCCTGGGCCGACGGCACGTAGGTGCTTGGCATGCGCAAGCGCCGCCCGCTTTACATGCCTCACGACTATCGCGCCCGCCGAATCTTACGCTGCCACCTCCTCTCCAGCCTGTCCTCCCGCGTCATTCTCTCCATTATCCCCCCTGCCTGCCGTGCCGGCTCATCGCGCCCGCCCTCGCACTGCTTCTCGTTTTCAGGATCGAGGCCTCCTGCTCGGGCGTTGATGAGGGGAGGAAGGTCTAAGTGAGGGTCATTGATGGCGCCGGCGAGCTCGCCGAGATGGTGATGTCGGCCAGGGGAAGGGAGGACGAGGCGGGGTTCAAGCGGTCCCTGTTGAATTACATTCTGGCGTTTCCCGTGGTTCTCAAGGTCAGTATTTTTCAGACTTGTTTTATCTTAGTTCAATTTGTTGTTATTACTCTGTAGCACTCAAATATTTCCTTTTTGTATTGTTATATATGATCCATTTCGTTGGGAAGTCAGTTAATGTGGTAGCTATCAAGAGCATTAATTGCCAAACTTTCCCATCAATTAGGTACTTTAAGTGGATGTGCATAGTTTGTACTTGATATCAGTGAGTTAGAACCAAAGGTTTTGAACATGAACTTCCTAATATTTGCTCACTACAATGTAGGATGATGCTGATTTGTTATTTATTTTGTTCCCTAAGTGACGTCTGCCTTACCCACATATCTTATGAATAAGGTGATCGAGCTTATGGATATGCCACAATGGATCTGCCAATGCAGGTTTGTTTGTTAAATCTATCGTATGTTTCATACTGGGAGGACTTTATTTTGATCCTTGCTGAAAGTGCAAGTACTCCTTAGCTGCAGTATAAGTTGAATGCTTTGCATCTGTGGGAACAAAGTGGGTATTATTTTTCGAGGGGCTGCATAATAATACAGTCTTTATAAACTTGCAGTTCTTGAGCAAAGGCGAGGAAGAATAGGACACTGCATTTGTGGAATTTATAGAAAGTGATGGAGAAAAAGCAGTGTGTTCTATGCGAATTATCTAAAGAATGTGGTTGGTAGGTGAGCACAACTTAAACTTGATTTGCATCTTGAAGAATGTGTCATGTAGCTTGTTGCTTGGCTGAGTCAAGCAATAGGAATTCTGCTTGCTAAGGACTACTGTTACCTCCTTGTCGTAATTATGTTACATGCTTATGTCTGTTTGTCATTTTGGACCTTTTATGATTCTAGCTATATCTTTTTTGTGGTCTATTTTAGCATTTTGTATTCAGCATTATTTTTGGAAAAGAAAGGTTTATACATTTGATTTTCTTTTGATGTGAATTCCACAAATAAATGCTCATGATAAAAATCATTACTTAAATTTTATGAGAGCGCATATGTCAAGAGTGGGCACGGTCCGTCAACTTTTATAATGTATAGCCTACATGATATACGAGAGACAGAGAGATCATTGTCAAAGTTCACTAAGTTCCCCAAGTCATAATTGTGCTATTACGGCAGCTTCTTATTGCCATCAAGCTCCTCACATGCTTGTTGGACTTGTCATTACCTCCTGGTACCAATTTAATTGACTTAGAACCTTGTGTTCATCAGCTGTTTTATTGAGGTTGACTTCAACTTCATGCTGTGCAACCTCGGGCATATGATTCTCTTTTGTTAAAAACTAGTCAGAACAATTCTCCCTTGTGCTTTATTTAAACCACAGATGCTTTACACAATGAATAACTGGACAGACCAATTCTGGATGATACAGGTCATTGAGTTACAAGTAAATTATACTTCTATGTTGTAAATAGTTGTAGATGGCCATTATTATTTTCTAATTCTTTTATACAATAATTGGATATGACCTAGCACTGCCCAATACTCTTGAATCTGAAACTTCTGTTTGTATAGGTTTCATTGCTGGCACTGTTATGGACTGGCTTTTGTGCTTCTGCCTGAGGCAACACCAATTATTATGTGTATTGTCTATCTTTCATCAGGGCCTCATCTTTGTAGTCAAAATTACATGGACACCAAAGAATTATGTGATTTGATGTTTGCTGATCAGTTCATGAATTTAAGTTTCTGCGGAACTGGGCAGTTCATGGCTGGATTATGAGTGATCTAGATTTTGATTTAGAAGCCATTATGAGAACTTGTCAAGTTAACTGTGTATTGCTAAGTAGTCAGAGATGACACAATATGAGAAAACGAAAGACCCATATAATCATTTGACCTTATCTTTATGATGGCATTAATACAAAATGTTCAGAAAGATAAAAGATATTGATATATCCATGTACAGGTGCATGCTAAGATGAAAATCTAAAGAAACATTAACTATGAATGGTATGTTGTTGCTGTAGAATCAACAAATGAGAGGAGAATAAGTGTCATCTAATTTATGGTAATGAAATGTCGCCTGATGAGTTAGTTATCTGCCCTTTAGTTTGATACATGAGGATGACTTGAATCATTTAGATCAATTAAGAATTACAATTTCGATTCATACTGACGTATCGATCCCTGCTCAGTACTATACGTATCGAGGTGTATCGACGGTGTGTCGAGCCATACCAATGGTATGTCCAAAATCATCAAAAAAATCTAAAAATACCTAAAAAATAAAAAAATTAGATTATCATTTTTAAGTTAAAAATAAATACAAGTTTAGTATAATTTTAGTAAAAACAATATAAATTAGGAAAGAATAGTGCCTTATATTTTTTTTTAGCATTGAAGAGTAGCTTTGTGGTATATTTTAGATCGTCCTTCTGTTAATATTGAATTATCTATAAAAAAATTATTTGAATTGTTAGATTATTTTTTATATAATTTAAACTTTAAAATTAAAATGAATTAAGTAATTAATCGATGGATATACATGGTTCTACCATCAAAAAGAACGATAGAACTCCATAGGCGGTGGATCAAGGTTCACCGCTATTAACATAGTTTATTAATCCCTAATTAGTCCTCTTTCATCGTTATAATATGTCAAATACCCTAATAGGTATTAAACACATTGAATTGACCCAATATCGATCAAATTTTGATTAAATCATTATCAAAAGTCAAAACCACTAAGCATAGTATTAAAAACTTAATTAAGACCGATTTGACCTATTAAATGTCTAATTTTGAAAAATCAATATTAAACACACTAATCACAACATTAAAGATCGTAATTGCTCCATAATTAATACTATTCTACCATAAAATATATCAAACAACATATTAGATATTAAGTCATACATCACATATAATAGACCTAATCATCTCATAAATTAATAAAGATCTAGAAAGAGAATACATATCTCTTAATTATAGTGTTCTTCCTCTTAATCCATCCAAATTAACCTCCTAAGTTTGATCCAATCCACAAATCGTAGCTTTGCTGAGCTTAAAAGAGGAAAAATGTGAGAATAAGAGAGAGATATGAGTGAAAAAGAGTTTAAGAGATTGAGAGAGTAAAATGAGTTAAAAAAGAGGGGAGGAAAGGGTTTAAAAACCCTTTTCAAAGCCTCAAATGATCAAATTAATTATTTGAAATAACGTAATCTCAACCCTTGATCGATAATGGTCGAAATCTAACCATTATCACCCGGTACAGGCCTATAACGATCAAAATCCAAGCATACCGATTGTTATTGGTCGGTAATGGTCGAATTTCGACCATTACCGTTCGATACAAACCCCATATCACCCGATATGGGGTCAAGTGATCGATACTATTCGATAGAGAATAGTCCACGTATGGTATCTTATTAGAGCGATATGTACCACCCATACCGGATGATACACGTTGGTACAACAAACCCTGATTTAGATGATCGATGATTTATAAAATATCTCAGTTAGACACTTAATGTGTTAATCATTTCTTTCTTGCTTTTGTTTGCATCTTCTTGTCATAATATCCATTGGTATTTCATGTGCTTTGTGTCACAATCTTGATTTTTCCTAATCAGGCACCTAACTCCAGTAGTATGTCAAGTTGAGGAAGCAATATTTAAAAATGTTCAGGTTTCATGCTTATTATTACATGACATTTGTTGTACCTGCAAGAGTCTACCCTGCTAACTTTTACTAGAAAATTTCAGGTTGGTGTGCTTATTGAAGAACCGATACATGCACTTGGTGGTTTATGCAAACATCTTCAGAATAACATCCAAGAAGCAATAGCAATAGAGAATTCAGTTAATGCGGACTTCTTATCAAGATGAAGGGCGATCCTGATGAATGGGTGGCCTAATTCCAAGGATGAGCATGGCTGAGGGCAGGAACAATGTTGGACGATTCAAAATTATTTAGGTCAATCATGGCACACCATGCCAAAGAAATTGCACCAACCAAAGACACATCGTAGCTGCTATTGGGCACCCCTTGCAACAAACAATAATTGTTAGCTTCTTGAGTTAGCGCTTGGGCATCGAAAGATGAAAAGACTGGTCTCTGAGCCAGGCTTTATGTAAAGCTTCACCAGTGGTGCCCTGAGTAGTGGGAGCTACCTTTACCAAAACCTAGTAGTGAGATAAAGGAAAAGGTCCACTGACTTGATCAGCACTGCCATATATTACTGTGGATAAAGGAACATGTAGCTGCATTTTGATCAATCTGTACACTACAACATGCTAACTGGCCTTTAAGACTGGTCTCTCATACACACACATCCTTGCAAAGTTTTTAGGCAACAATTTAATGCCAAAAACTTGGATATGAATGTTGGACATGTCAAAGAATAATTGGCATGGAAAAACTCTTACCCTGAGAGAGTGACGCACAAATTTGTGTGGACATTGTTATCCCATCAAGAACAGCTCGGCAAATAGTGATTACATGATTGAACTGGGAAACAAAGATGTTGATTGACATTGGATACGGGAATTGGATCTTGAATAATGTACATCTTAAGTGACAGTTGGGGAAGGGGCCAAATGTATCCTCTAAAAGTGGCTTTGGATCTTTTCTAGTTTGCAGAGTGATGAGAGATGGATGAAGATGTGTACTGCGAAAGCCAAATGCATTCTGATGCTGTTGATGTCAGTGATATGAATTCTTAGAAGGGCAAGGGATCAAATGCAGTATTGCTCTAATAAAAAGAAACATTATGTAACAGGAAAGGAGTCATTTTTGTGACATGGAAGAAGTCTTATCAAAAGAAGTTCATTGCCCCCTTCTAAGAGTAAAAGGAAAAGAGAAGTTGGAGAAGGGGACGACACGTCCCCATCAATGCATCTTTTACGTAGCAGCCTTTTCCTCACTTTAGGCTTCGGGTGAGACATGAACAGCTCCGTATCCACATGCGCGTGATGTGAGCAAGAGACCGTAACCTCACAACGAATCTATCGTCTATGAGCACGGCGTTCGCTTGGATACGGACAGCGATCGGCACCCTTTCAACATTGGATATCTTCCCTCGCCTTCTTGTTTGACTTCTGATCCAATATTTCCCTCCCCCCCTCTCTTCTCGATAGCTACTAGACACCAGCTGAATACACTTAGATTAGACTGGGATTAGGTATGGGTTTTATGACATTAGATGAGGGAGAATTCAGGATGGACATATGTTTATTGGGCTAATTATGTATGCTGTAAAAGAACAATCTTGATGTATGAAATTGGGATGATGAAATTTTGAGGAGTTTGAGCAATATTTTGCCTAATTTTCATACACGAGAGTTTAGCTATCTACCTGGGAGGGGGACCAAATCCTACCTCTCTTCCTCTTCAATTAGCTATCCACGCTGCTGCTTTAATAAGCTGTAAGGTGAGAACTGGACGACGAGAGCTCCAGCATCAAACTTCTGCACTTTGGGCGCCCGGCATTGCTCCGTGTCAGTGCAATCGCACAGTCATCGGCGTAGTTTTTCCTCCCTTTCGCCGCGGTCTCTCTTCGAGCGAGCAGAGGTGAGTTCGGTCGATGTTTCTCGATCGGTTTTAACTAATGGGCATTGAGAAATTAGGGTTTTCTTACTGCTGAGCTCGTCTTCTCGTGTAAACTGTTGTTTTTAGGAGTAAAGATGTCTCCTTTATGATTCTATGGTGAAATGGTTAACAGGTGATAAGCGTAGGGACCGTTCTTGATAGCATCGTTGCTATTCCCGGGATGGATTTTTGATTGATCAATGACAATTCTCTCTGTTTGGGGATTTGCCGTTCAACCACGTTTTGCTGCTTTTATTCTCTTCCTTTAGTAGATATGATATGAGAAGATCCAGTTGTCTCCATGAGTCTTTATTGCTTTGATTTGCTATCATGTGGGTTTCTTCGTTTCAATGTGTCATCTATTTCCTGGGTTTCTTTCTCATTTATATTGCGGCTTAACCACGAGTGAACCTCTCCTCTCGCGTTATTGGTTCGTCAGCCATTTGCTGCTGCTCGTTGGTTCTTCTCTCTGCATAAGTGGGTATTGCTTTCTTCCTTGCGTCTAATTTCCAATATTCAAATTAATTTCTGTTTAATACATTGGCATCTATTAATTATGACATTTTTCGAAAGAAATTTTAAAGATGTAGGTAACTGTTTAAAGAATATTTTGATACATATTTCTAAAAATATGTAATGCCAGGGAAACAAAGAGTGGTCTATAATGGATATTTCAGCAGATTCTAGTTGAAAAGATATGTTTGATTCCTGGCTCTTGGTTGAAATATAAGTTATATTTCACTTAATAGTTGAAATACATGTTTTATGATGTTAGTCTCATGGTTCATTAGAATATTTATGATTTCCTTTTCACTAATGAACTGCAAGAATACATGACAGACGAAGTCTTGTGAGAGGAAATACAAAGCTGATTTCATAGTAATAACGAGAAATTTTCAGGAACCATGAGTATCAAAGTCATCTTCCTGGTTTTGATAAGTAACTAGTGAATATAATTTATATGCTACTTGCAAAGATTACATTGCAGGAACTCTAATTCCTTGATGATGCAACAATCTGTAGCAAATGTAATGTATTATTTCCTCATTTTCAGAAAACATGATAATGGAACTTAGGTTCTAATCCATATAACTTGTTACTTCCTCTGCAATTTTGGTCTTTCCATAAATCATTGCTCATTTATTTCCTTGTTCCTGTTGTCCTTTGTCCAATATGCTACTGGCCTTACGTACTACATTATGAAGCTTCCTCAGATCTCGTGTACCTCTTTCTATGCTTGTCAACAATGACTGCAATTATGAATTTACAACAGAAACACTACCATCTGTGATTTCGTACGATATCAGTGGACAGACTTGTTCTCTTCTTCATCTTGATAATTATGAACTCTAGGTGGCTATAAGCCCTAATCATGGCTCCTAGGCAATCTGGTATTCTAACACACCCCTCATGGGCCTGAAGGTAACTTCATGAATGTCAACATTTTCCTTTGATCTAGTTGCTCACACATTTTCTGCTTCCAGACCATAGGACATCAAATTTTATTTTATTCTGCATTGTAAAATTATTTTATTTCATGAACTGGATTGAATTGTAATGTGGTGAACATGATTTATCAAACAAAGAATAGATGCCAAGCATAAAACATATTCATCCTTTTGACATTCTATTAAGCATTTTATTTTTCTGTACTTTTATTTTCATACTATCACTTCCTCATATCTGTGCACATATGAGTTTATTAATAGTAAAATCCTACCAAAATTATCACATAGATTATGTTTTTCTTACAATTCAAAGCAATTTGCCTCAACCTGACTTTTTTCCAATCGACCATTGCATCTTCATTTGTATCCTTGTTATGGTATTTATATCTCTCTGAAGTCACTTTTCTAGACTCGTTGATGAGGTTTTTTCTTAGGAACCTGAATATCTTTTATTTATGATATAGGAGGCAATTCATAGTACAGTTTGAAGCCATGTCTTGACACTTGAGTTTAGGGATTGAAAGGAGATCGGAAGAAACAAATATAAATACCTGTGCCATGGACTCATAAGAATGTAAAATTCCTTTTCATCGCAGAGAAAAATTGAACACCAAAATATCAGGCGGGAAATGCCTTTTCCTGTCTTCATTGTGGTTAACAGATTATTTAGTTGTGCATGCCTTTTTGTATCTGAGTTAGCTTTTATTGACAGTCAGATGTTGCTAGACACGTTAGCATGACATGATGATGCCAATACATGTAATGATAAATGTTCTTTTACAACTTATGCAATGTCTAAAACCCGATCAATATTAGGTGATTTTCAAGTCTGCTTTACCCATATTATAGTATTGCATTCTTCTTCCTTTCAGTGCTTTTGTCTTATTTCTTTAGGATACTCACAAAAGGCTTCTTGCTATGAAAAGATTCCTCCATGACTTAAGTTGCAAGTACTGCAAAACATTCTTTGAAGAATGAATTCCTTGAGGTTATGTCACATCAAGGTGTTTGATAGACTTATCTTACCTTGCACTTATAGTATTCTGAAATTAGTTTAGTTAGTTATTGTCGAACTTCAGCGCTTTTTGCATTGGGAGCTTCAGTTGTTGCATGCTGCTAGATTCTTCTTACAAGTCGATAGAATACTCTAGAGAGATTCAGTGTTTCAGCTCATTCAAAAATTATGAGCTGCTGATTCTTTACTTTTTCAATTTGCAAATTGGAGCATCATATAATGTATGAGGTATTTCTGCTATCTTGGGATTGTTTCTCAAAGAAAGTGAGAAAAGCTATTAGAATTGAGTTCATCAGAGGGAAGGTCCATCATTCTTTTCTTTATCTATCAAAGGTAGCCCTAGTGTTACAGCCCAAGTGAGAACTGCTTTGATAATAAAGGTTCTTATTCTAGTTTTCAAAGTACGCCATTTGTTCTATCTTTCCGTATCACTAAGTTGATTCATGTTGGTTGCTTGTTAGAACATGCATGGTTGTGTACTTTGTTATGCCAATCATTAGCACTATCTTTACAATCATTATTGGAGATATTTTGATGATTGGCTTTGTACACTTCGTTTACTTTTAGGACAATATTTTAGTGGAACATAGAAAATTCAGGCTTCCCGCATTTAAGAAATTCGGGCATCTGATGGCTGGACTCGGATCAGAATGGAAATGGCGCTTAAGGTCCTTAGTGCACAATTCTAAAGGTTTAGAATGCTTCTTGACATGCTTGAGACTAATTATGCAAGGATTTTGGTAGTGGCTGCCATGTCTTTGATGCAAGGAGCAATGTCCTTGTAGCCTCCCTGTAGTTCAAGCTGGATGGGATGCCTGATTGGCACTGGCTAGCATGATGCGGCACAACCAGCATGCATCATGCTCCACGGTGATCCTGGATCAAATGTACAGCTCATGCTTATATTTGATTTCCATGTGCCCTTCCTGCGGCAAACAAAAGAAACTCTCAGCCATTTCATGTTTTTTTTCCTTTTCAAGTTTGCGGTCAAAATCATAATAAGCCAGCTAATGACTGATATAAGTTTGTGGACTTTGGTGTTTCTTATTATTTGATTGAATTGTTTGTCATAGAATGATCTTTGCATGAGAAACTGCACATATTGGTTCTCTATTAGAGCATTTTGGCATACTAATGCTGCATAATCCTCGTAATTTTATGACTTCTCTCGAAAAAAATATGGTCGTAACATGATGGATAAGCATATCTTTTTAATTTTCTCATTTCAGTTTGCTTGTTATTATCACTTTATTGCTGGCATCATGTCGCTTGAATATCAAGCATCTACTAGCATATCCAGTGAAACACATTTTTATTCAGTACTGTTAAATGTTAATCTACTTTGGAAACTAATGTCCATGTGATTGCTACAACATGTAAATGTAATTGCCTAGTTTTATGTAATTCTTTTAATCATCAGAATTCAGCAGGTTTTTTTTTCTATATTCATAGGGCAACATGTACTTTTGGATCTGAAAACTCTTTTAAAGAAAGAACAAGGGCCAAGGCCTAAAAATGTCCGTACATCTGTTTTGAGCAGCACAAATCCAGATGAGATTGTAATTTGAAAATTGACAACAGATGCTGCAGCCCGGGAAGCTTGGTTGGTGACTCAAGAAAACTGAGCTGCAGTTATTCTTCAGGTCTGTATTGTGGAAACATGCCTTCTGAAACTTATGAAGATGCTAGAGACAGTGACATGCTAAAGAGAGGTTCCATGTATCTGAGCTCAAAAGAAGTATGGAGAATGAGAGAAGTAAGAGAAGAAAGGATCAAACAGGAATCAGCCTGCGGTGATGATGCTTTTATTTCATTTGAAATTGCCAATTCCTTGCCTCAGTTTTGCTCCAAGGAAGTTGTTTTATCTTCTCAACATAGATATTCACTTGCTGCTTCTTTAAATGGTGAGTCAAAGCTGTTAACTACTGACACCAGACACTCGATTACGATAAGATCCATAGATTTTCTGGATCTTTCCTTGCACGATCTCACTGACAAACATTCAAGTGAGAATATCTCGTGCTCTGATTTGGTCTCATTAGAAAGGTCAGTAGATGATCTCTTGGGGATCTGCTTGCATACTGATGGTATGGAGTCTCATACAAAAGCAGCTCCAGTATTGTTTGAGGCAGGATATCTCGAGGAACAAGTGTCTGAGTGCAACAGCCAACCATCAAGTTTCCCGCCCAAGTCCATGGCAAAGGCAGGCAAGTCGAAAGCACCTTTTCAGTCGCAATATAGTTATTGTAATGGCAGTCCAAAAACTAAGTTTAATGCACTTAAGAGGTTGTTTGATCCAGTCATGAAATCCAAATCTCTGCACAATTCGTGGAGTGTAGAATCAGAGAACACTTCATGCACAGATATGGATCCTGCAAAAATCAGGAACAATGGAGTTTTGGACAAATCTACAGCCAATGACTACTCAAAAGCAATGCGAGAGGTGGAGTCTGATGCAGAGCTGAGAGGAGAGAAAGTATTGACTTCTTTTTCACTGCCTTCTCACTTGCATGGAATTCTTAAACTGGAAACTAATAGTGGCAATCCATCATTTGAATTCCATGTAAAAGATCCAGAAGTTGTTCTTTCAGCAAAGGCGTGGAGAACAGATAATATGTTTAATTGGGTTTACACGATCCATAGCTCTAAAAAGAGGAACTATAACACATGGAGTAGGAAAATAGACAAGCATGGGCAATCACCACCTATAGTTGGCCAGATGCAGGTTTCATGTTGTCTTTGCTCAGAAATGAGAGAAAATGGGCCTGCAGCAAACTCTTCTGTCACAGAATTTATTTTATACAACATTGTGCAGGCAAAAAGGAGTTTTTCTGTTGAAGAAAGTTCTGAGTGTTCCTTAGATGCCACTTGTCCTCTTCAAAGAAATGTCATGGACAAGTTAGTCACAGAGGAAACCTTAATGCCAAACAATTTAATGAAATGTCAACATCCTATCAGGTATACTCTTAGTCGTTATGGGTCAGACGACTCCACTCCGTACCCATGGTTGCCAGCAGACCTGCGTCCAGAACTTGAGATTGCAGCTATTGTGATTCAAACTCCTTTTACAAAGAAAGAGTGTTCAGAAGAAATGAAGGAGGTCGGCCCGGAAGGAATATGCAACGGCCTGAATTCTGCAATTGTGAATGTCATTACTCCAAGCGGGAGGCATGGTTTGCCAAATGTTGATGCAGGATGCCCATCAACATTACTAGATAGATGGAGGTTTGGTGGAGGGTGTGACTGTGGTGGGTGGGACATGGGCTGTCCCCTTGAAGTATTTCACAATGATGATTGGGTGTATAATTCATCGATGGACACTCAAAAGTCCATTTTGCTCTTTGGTCAGGTATGCTCATATCTTCTGGGTTCGTTTATCTGATCCTCTTATGGTAATTATCATGTTTAATACAATTTCAAACTTATCTACTTGGTTCATTCCTATCTAGTTGTGTTAATGCCAATCTGTGTCATATCTTAGTACTAATTATATGCTATCACTATATCATCGATATGCTGTTTGTGTCTTTGTGACTATGTTCTGTTTCTACTTTTAAACAGGGAAGTAAAGAAAAGGCGCCTGCACTCTCGATAACGGCTGATGGACAACAGTATTTAGTTGATTTCCATGCAAAATTTTCATCTCTACAGGCGTTCTCCATCTGTATTGCTATCTTGCATGGTTCTGAAGCTTCTGCAGCTGTTAGTCAGGAGAACAGGCAAACATTGCAATCTAATTCATTGAAAATTCTCTTTGAGGAGGAAGTTAGACATTTGATCGGGGGAATCACAGTTGAAGAGAAAAGAAAAGTTAAAAATGGAGTAGAACAGGTACCTCCAACGTTCTTCGTAGGTTCATCCTTTTCTCCAGTGACAAAATATTTGCATCAATCCTTGCCAGAATTGACATTCTGGAATCTGCTAGAAGATCAAGAGTGTTATTATCTGCAATGAGCATAATCCAGTAAGAGTAGATCAGTTGCAAGTTTTGCATGATGACAAAATTTGGCATTATACCCAACACAAATCCTTGTTAATCACGTCGTATACCTTGTTCATGTGCATAGTTACAATGTATCCTTTGTTCATAAGAAAGAGGTACAGCCTTTGTTAATAGTTAGATCTGTTGAAATTACACACTTTTATGATGTTGAATAACTTTCATGACAACCTGATGTTAGTTCCACAAAAATTAAGTTGAACTCTGACTAACATTTCCTGATGTGATGTGGCCAGACTTATCTCCTGTTTGATGTAATTTGGTAGCATAAACATCTACTGATTCTTCAAACAAGAGAGTTATAGGATTGCCTTCTGATAAAAAGATGAAGCTTCCTTGAATATGATGCCTTGAAGATTGTTGCAATTTTTGTCTTTGACTTTAGATTTTGTGATTATGTGAAATTATTATTTTTAACATTAACTTTAATTTGACGCATTGTCAATTGGTTTTTCTTTTTCGCTTGGGGATATTTGCAATGTTAGTCTTACAAATTACACCTTAAGCATGTTTACATGATTAAACTAACACCAGCAATGCACAATTTAAGGTACAAAACAAAAGATCTTCTTGAACAGATCCTTCTATTATTCAGTTGATCATTCAAGCTTGATTACATTTTAATCTGGTATTATTCAGTTTCATTCAAGCTTGATTACATTTTAATCTGGTATTCTGCAACTTCAACGCACAGTTTGCATCATAAATCTTACCTTAGTCAAATCATTCAAAGCTGCTTCCACCTTGTGAAGCCATTACAAGATCAGAAAGTAGATAAAACATACCAACAGACAGAAGGAATCAGATCTCCTCTGCATTTGCATCACTTCAAAATGAAGGCAGACAGGATCACACTCATGTGCATCACACTCGGCATCATGCAAGCATTTGAAGCTTAGTAAGCTCCTAAATATTATTATTTCTAAAGTTTACGAATTAATTATAAACTTGAGATATAATGATAACTCTTAAAAATTAAAGATTTTAGATTAAGTAAAATTAAGACTTAATATATAATATATAATTTAAGTAATTATAGAAATAAACAAGAGAATAAAGTTTAGTTTGATGGATAAAATTTTTTTTTAAGTAAAAGCCTTAAATATCTTAGATCAATTATTCAATAAGATGAAGAGATCGATGAAGATATTATTTACGGAGTAAAAATAGAATGATTAAAATAACGAAAGACATTAGCAGTCTCATGTGATCATCGAAAATTTTTGAGATTAAAAAAAAATTATAAGATGATTATAAGACTAATAATATTTTATGGATCTGAGTGTTGGATAATCAAAAAATGATACATATAAAAAAATTATGTTATCAAGATGAAAAATATTAAGATGGATGTATGAAGTTATTAGAAAAGATAAAAAAATATTTTTATATAAGATTAAAAAAAATTAAGATAGTACGGAGACTTCTAGATGCAATAATTAGAAAATATAAAAATGATTAATGTTAATGTATAATAAAAGATAAAAGAAGACCTAAAAAATAATAAAAATTATAAATAAAAATTTAACTATTTTGAACTTAATTAGATATATGCTTTTTTTACATATCTTAAACATCACAAAAGATTCATGTAGTCGATTTTAAATAATTAAAATGTGTTATAGTATTTCTAAAGCTTACTTCAAATAATTTATCCATTTCTATGCCCATGAATGCAAGTAGGCTTTACCCTTTCCTTTTTTTTTTTTCATGGTACAGATGAAATATATATTAAAGATAAATCTGGATTTAGATCACTCGAGTCATTATCAGCAGCTGAGTGCCCAGAAGGTTGAAACATCACACTGAAGCATAGCTCTTTGTCCTCAGCCTCCTTTTGCCTTCAACATGAAGCATGATGCCATGCGCCCAAAAGCACAGCAGTGAATCTTTTCCCCATGTCCTACTGGCCTAAAGCTCACAGGTGCAACAGCCATGGCGTAGAGCTGCCCAGGCTTATCCAGCAAAATGGCGTAGAGCTGCCCAGAGACATGAGAAAGAACGCAGCTGAGAGCTCAGAGCTCAGAGCTCAGAGCCATTTGGAAGGAGTGTGGCGCAAGGCATCTTCCTCGAGTTATGTTTCATCCGGAAAGTGATTCCTCCTATTTCCTAGGCCTACTTAATTAAGCAGCCAGATCATGCTCTTACAAAAGAGCTTGATTGCATACGGAGAGAAGACACTCCACCTGCTCTTTGTGGGCATGCCGGTTCCTGTTCTTCAACAACAACAGGGAAGGCATAAACCTTTGCCACGCCGTGTCGATCGCAAGGATACAGAACTCATAGAGCAACACACCATGCACGTGAGCGCATCACAAGGAAGGACCCCGTCGCGTACAGGGAGCCGCGGTGGGGTTGGAGAGGGGGCGGAAGCCGCGGTTTTGGACTTTGGAGCCCGTGAGAGGCACCAATTCCAAAGCCCTCCGCGTCATCTGCTGCTGCAAAAGCTGAGCCACGCTTGCCCACACAGTTGCAGCGCTGCCGCAGGGCCGGACTCCGGCCGCGGCTCACGTGTCAACGCCCGCACGCGAACCTCTATGCGGGGGGGTATTCGGCTGTATCCCCATCGTGTCCCGCTTCCGCTCGAGTTGTAAGCGGGAGACGCGTGGCGCCTTGCACCGGATCGGGCCTCGCGTCGTGGTGGCCACGGAGCCACTGCTTCGGTCCGTCCGTCGCGGATCGAACGGCTCTAGATCTCGCCGATCCCATCCACCGTTGCGGGGCTCACCTCAGCTCCATTTGTCATCCGATTTGTCGGGAGGCGATTTCCCATCACGCAACCTCGCGTACCCGTGTCTCTTACCTGTCTATCGTGGGGCCCACTGCACGAATGACTCATGTGGAACGCGTCGCGATTCGCGAAACGGAAGATTTAAGCGGCAAGTTGCGTGTCCCGCGTACGCGTTCGAGGCCTTGGACCGACCGAGTGGGGCCCGATGGTGAGGAGTAGCGGTCGATCCATGAAGTCCCGAAGCTGCGGGGTCCGGAGACGATGGGTGTTCGCTGTCTCGGTCGGGCAGCAAAGATGACGACCACCAATCATCTCCGTCTCGTTTCTTCAGAAAATATCGCGCAATATTTTTATTTTTTATATAATTATTTTTTTTGGGGAAAAAAAGTAGGCTTTGTAATTATCCTATCATCGCCGTATCCACCGTACGCCTAGACACACTCTCCTCTCCTCTCTCTCTTCCTGCTGTTAGAAGAAGAAGAAGAAGAAGAAGATGAGCAAGATATAGAACAATAGTGGGTTCTTCCCTCTTTCCGTCGTCCTGCTTCTCTTTCCCGGAGATCGCCTGCCTCGTTGATTGCACTTTCTCTCATTTATGACTCTGGGCACCGTCTTCTGTTGCTCCTATTACCATCGCTCGGCCCTTCCAATCCTCTCTCTTTCTCTCTAAAGACATTTGCACAAAGAGAACAGTTGGAGGAAGAAGAGGGAGAGGAAGCTCGCGAAAGTAGGGTTCTTGGAAGCTTTCGGGGCCTTAACTGCACCATTTCCTGCTCTAGGACCTTACACCAATCTCCTTCGGAGCCTAGGTTCTCGCCATTTCTCGGAAAGGGGCAAGCTTTGGAAGCTGGTGCCCTCCTTATCTGCCCCTGCCGCTTCTTACGTCACTATTGACCTTGTCCTGCATGAAAGAGGGAATTTGATGGAGGAAAATAGATAAAGGTGCAATTTTTCTTGTTTTACAGTATGCGGACCGGCTGGAAATGACATTTGCCTCTGGCTTTTCACCATGGCCTCCGAGTTTCTTGACCTGAGCCTCGATTCTAGGGTTCGGCTTCGCTTCTGGTCTCGCCTAGAATCTTAAAGTTCCGATCTTGCTGGTGTTTTGTGTGGTTTAGCTATATCTTTTTGCCTTTAGATTCTTGAGGAGAGGAGGACCAGCTCCTCCTCCGGTGCATGTATGGATGGGAGAGACGCCATGGCGATGTCGGGTCCAGCCTACTACATCGCGCATCGAGGGATTCCTGGTTCTCTTGCTGGTTCGCAGCCTGGGTTGCATGCGGCAGCGCAGCCTGGGGTCCGGTCGCTGCCGAACCCCGGCACGATTCTGGTCGTCCCGTCCTCTGGTGTTGGTTCCGCGGCGTTTCAGGTAGAGTCTCCGCCAGCGGCCTCGTTACATGGTGGTGGTGGTGGTGGCGGTCTCGGGGAGGGAGCCAGCCAGACGGAGCCGGTGAAGAGGAAGAGAGGAAGGCCGAGAAAGTATGGCCCGGATGGGAGTGTAGCTTTGGCACTTTCGCCTATTTCGTCGTCCGCTCCCCCTTCCGCAACGGTGATCGGATCGGAGACAGCTTCGGGCGCTGGCGCTCCTACCCTGAAGCGGGGGAGAGGGCGACCTCCAGGCACTGGAAGGAAGCAACAGTTAGCATCACTTGGTGGGTGAAAGAACTCTCTTCTTTGGCTTTCCTTGGTACATCAGAACTTGCATTTCTCTTCCTTTATTTGGTGTCTCTTTGTTGGATTACCCGGATGACAATTTGGATAATGCAATGCCGCTTGGTTTGATCTATGAAGTGTGAGGTCGTTTCAACTTTGATGGAGATATATGCATGTATGATCAGTAGTAGTATTTATGAGAATCTTAATTACAAAAACGAGATTTGTCGACTTAAAAAAGCTGTCCTTTTTCTTCCCCTTCCGTCTCCATGGTCAGGATGTATGAATATTATACTATTTCTTTACTGCAACATCTGTGAATGCGCTGCTGTTCGATTGTGCCTGAATTGTCTGAGAGTTCTTTAAGAGCTTATTAACTTCTTGGTCGTACATTTCTTATGTATATGTGTTTGATTACTAAGATATTTTTTTGTTGACATCCACATAAACTGTCAGAATAGATTCTAAATTTTCTTCTGTTACTTCCTTGCAACAGGTGAATGGGTTGTTGGTTCGGCCGGAATGGGTTTTACTCCACATGTCATAACAATCGCGATAGGAGAGGTATGGATTTTATAGTCTATTTCTCGAGAAAAAAGATGGATTAAACTGGATATCTTTCCATTGAAACATATTGCATGGTCTTTGACCAACTAAGGTTAACTTACTGTTCTAATGGTATAGAGTTCAAGTCTTGCGTCAAATTTGAAGTTAACAGGGCATCTGTGAA